AAAGCACATTATCAAACATTTTGTGCATCAGTACACAGCACCATGCTGTAATTACCCTCTCAAGGTATAACTTAACCAGGACAATTTTGGAGGAGTCTGTGGCTGAGAAGTTCTTTGCACTCCAGAGGGCACTTTCCTTACTGAAGCCCAGAGCCCAGGGAGGACACGGCCACTGGAGCAGTCTGCCTGACCGAACAGCTGCTTGTGCTTCAATTCTGATAGGCAAGATAAAAAAAATAAAAGGTAGTCCTAGCATAAATCTAGGGAACCTGAGCTACATCAGGGATACATCTGGCTGATGATATGACATTGTATTTCAGACTGGCTTCCAGACACATGGCCCCAAAGAATGAAGAAAGCCTTTGTCCCTTTCTATAAGAGCCCCTTTTGTAGCCTCTGTAGCCTCTCTTGCTGCAGTGAGGGTTAATCCAGGCTAGTGAACAAGAGAGATGAAGATCAGCTCATCTTTTCCATTCAAGCAGAGCCTGCTACAGAAAATGCTGGTTTCTCGATGGATGCTCTGTGTCTCAGTGACTTCCAGGAACAGTGAGCTAAACTCAGCTGCTCTTCCCAGCACCAGCTGAGGGGGCAGCAGGGGATGGAACACAGCCCTGTTCTTGGAAGTCAGGAAAAAATAAGGTTCTGGCAGAGCTGTGCAAACTCTCCTCTCTCCCTCCTCCGCTCCCCAAAAGCCTCTTTCAGCATCTCTAGTTCCTCACAGCACAGCTGGGTTCGTTTTTCCTTTTATCAAATAAACATTAAGAGCAATGCAAGAAAACTGCAGGCAATTCTCAAGCAGAGAGAGGTTCAGTTGATCAAATAAATAAATTATAAGCTCATCTCTGTGAGCTCCCACATGCCTCATGATTTTGCTCAGTTTAGTGCATGACCTACTGTACCTCTTAACATTTTCCTGTTAGATAAACAGAAAGCTATAGAACCATCCAGCTCATGGAAACTATTTTTGGCTGCTTTATCTTCATGCAATATGAATTCCAAGGAATGATTGGATATTTGGACTTCTCCCAGCCTGGCTGACTGTGAAGGGAGCAGACAGTAACCTCATTGGTATTCTTCTGTGGAAACAAACATCTTTTAGAGATGACAAGTATCTGGCTTGTAGGTACAGCACTCTGAATGAGATTCAGGGAAATAGAGCAGTCACCAGCTGTGAGGAATGTGAGGAATAGCCTCGAGGCACACAAAAAAGGAAAACAGGAATCAGACTGAGTTTGTTTCATGGTTCCCCACAAGCTGCCCATGAAATACAAGGCAGCAGCACTGAGCTGTGAACAGAGGGAGAATTCCTGCTGCAAAGCTTGTAGTCAGCAGTGCAGCTGGATGAGAATTTGCACCAACTTTCTTACGGACTCAAGTCTGGCCCTGTAGAAAAATAAAAGCAAGCCTGTGACATCTGTGTCGGTAGGCCTCAACTGAGCACCCAGCAAACTGGCTCCCTTGTCAGGCGTCTTGGCCAACGGGCCCTGGAATGAATGGGCCACACAGCAGCTCAGACTAACAACTGGTCACCCCAGGACACGGCCATGGCGTGCTGCCACCGAGGCGTTGCAGGAGAAGCTGTTCCCTGAGATAGACAGTAGCTGTTCAGCAGATAAGACGTCTGTCTTCAGCGCAATCAGTTTCTTACCTACTACAAGTGTTCCATGCACTTAAAATGCTGTGGTTTTCTGTCTGTTGGGTGTTTTTTTCCCCACCTGCTGGACAGAAGGAAAATGTAAATCTGCATGGTTACACAGGACTCTCAAGTTCCCTGCAATGCCAAGGCCATATGCACATGTTTAGAAGACAAGACCACTTCATTGTTATCTTTCATGGATTTCAGGGCTATAAAAAAAAAAAACCAACACCCAGGGAGTAGCACAAAAAGCAATGTAGAGTCAGCAGCAAACCACGAGACCAGTTTACAGGTTGTTGAACATTTTCCACTTGCTGATTTCTAGGTTCTCAGACACCAGCTAAGAAATCGAAGCACTCTGCTGTCCCTCTGGGACTTCTAAACTCCACCAGCATGACACACCATTTATCTCTGCTACCTTCAATTAGAAACAGGAAGCAAAGAGTTGGGCACTAGGCTCATTTTTAGCTGTGTGAAACTGTGATGACCCAGCTACTTGCCTATAAATCATTGTAGATGTGCTGATTTACACTCTGTGAGAAATTGGTTCATTAGCTAGAATTAAACAGAGGCCCAAGCCACACCATTTAAATTTGAATAGTGCTCTTGAACACCCTGTTCAGTCCAGGAACTGGGATTTGCTTGGTGCCTTCCTATATTTAGCATACAGTAATGTAATTGAAGCAACAAAATTAGACCCGCAAATAGACTGATTTCTCAGTAGTTAATCAAGGACCTTTTCCTAGAACTGCAGAGGGCTGAAATTAAAAGAAAGGAATGTGTGGTAATCAGCCCCATGGAGGCAGGAGGAAACCACCATGAGTTTAAACTCCAAACATACATTCTGGCCAGCTGAATGTACCCTTGTTTAAATTAAATGTGGCTTCACAGTGACCCAGGCCAAGGATTGCATGAAACTCTTCAGAGTGCGCAGCCCACGTACAAGGAATTACTGAGCAGATACGACTTATGGTCTGCAATTAGCTGTATAATAAGAATGTCCTCAGTCCCCCATCCTTAATGGATGAAGGAAACAACAGTCTGAGGTACCTCTGCAATAATGCTAATCTGTTTCTGTCAGCAGCTTCTGTGAACAGCAACAGGTATAGAAAGGAGTGACTGAAAGACAAATCCAGTGTACAAACTGCAAAATGCATAAAACAGGCAGCAATCATACTGCAGCAGCACTTAAACTGAGGAAAGAAGGCAGGAGCCTGCAGCACTGCACTTGTTCAAATTCACTATTAATAGGTCTTACAAGATAAACTAGAAGACTCCATTTTGTGTCCTTTTCTTCTTAATCATCTAATTTTTATTGGGGGGCTAAATAGGAGAATTACATTTAAAAAAATCTTTTTTCTGTCACCAGTTTTCATATTACTGTTAGGAAAATCTCCTCTTCACATTCTAACCTAAAAACTGCCAGAAGAATAAGACAAAGAAAATACTCTGTAAGCAGAAACATAGTCAGACGTTTAAGAAGTGTTGAAAAGCTTCAGAAACTGTCAAAGCTTGCAGCTGACAGTGAATGAAAGGGAGCTTCATTTTTATGTATTTCTACAGTATCAGCACCACAAGCCTCACAGTGCCAGCTAGGACATGCAAAGACATTGATGCAGAGCTAAGTCAGAGGAAGGTCTTTTAAAATGTATTTCAGAGCTGTATTTTCTAGCTTTGGCAATACCCTTGAAGAGGTCAGCTGTACCTCCCCATCTCTTCTGCTCACACTGTCTGCAACTGTTGTGCAAACAGATGGAACAGCCTGTCATGCACAGAGTATGCCCGTAGAAACGTCCTCCAAACAGCTTTTGCCAAAGAAGTTTTAGGATTGAATTTACTTCCCACATGTAGAAGCTACTGATTTCTCTTGGCAAATTTTTCCTGCATAACATGGGATCTCTACTGGATCAAGGCAAATGAGGTAGAAAGATTAAGAGTTCCCCTGCACTGGTTTCATATACTGCATTCCCAACCCCTGCTACTGTGGGAGGCAGAACATGAGGACAGAGCACGGAAAGTAAGAAAGTAAGAAGAGACATGGGAACCAGACAACAATTGCATAAACTTATAATCAGCCATTGTGCCTTTGATTCACCCTGAGGCAAGCCAGAAAAGAAGGAAGGGCCCGGGTAGCTCGCCTCCCTGCCGTCATCCTGCAGTGGAAAAGCTCTGAAGCTGAATCTAAAAATCACTCACTCAAAGCTCCAGGTACTAAGAAGTGATTATGTAAAGCCGTATCAGGGAAAGTGTTTCTTGTATGCTGCAGATCTTTTTCAATGCAGGTCTACAAAACATTGTAGCATAATTAAGCTTCCATAAATATTAATAATTCAATTTTTAATTCCACTTCTAGTTCCATTCCTCCCATTCATCTAATAATTAATAGTGCTTTCACATCACCATTAAAGATACCAGCTTGATAGCAGGAACAAAAGATTAGGCCGAGAATCTTATTTGTAATGAATGGTGATGAATAATAACAGGTACAAATTGCAAAGTGTGAGAGTGCAGAAACTGACTGCCCTAACCTCTGAGTTAATGTAACAACACAAAAGCCTCTCTGATATTTACAGATACTAGCATTTCCTAGAAGAAAACCACGAAGAAATCATTTACTCTTAAATTACAAAACACTCACTGGAGACATAAGTACATTTGAGAAATACATGTCAAATGCAATTCAGGGAAACACACTCCAGTATTTTAAGAAAAGCCAAGTCACCTTCCTATCAAGGCAACATTAAGGAAATAGAAGTGGAATTAGCACCTCTGCCATTGTGGTGAACACATTCAAGCAGATGAAATGGAGGGTAAGTGAGCAGCCGTGACGCAAAGCTGAAAGGTGGGGGACTGTGCAGACATATAGACAATAAATATCTTTTATCATACAATTCAAAGCAGAATCAGCATGTGAACTAATTTAATGCTTCACCCTTAGCCTTGCCTTCTTTTTCTCCTCAAAGGCATGCTGTTCCTCGGAATAGGCTTTGCCTTACTGCATGCTTTTGCAACAAGGAGCTCAAAGGCACTGGCTGGTACGTGGCACTCAGGCATGTCGTTCCTGTACCTTTGAAGAGCTTCCTTGGGCAACATCTCACACTTTTCTGCTCCAATTTGTTATGCAGGAGCAGTCTGGGCTTTCACATCTCATCCAGGCCATAGTGGGCAAGCCCCTGTTAGTGCCCCAGTGGAGACAGCCAGCACGTAGAAAGACCGTCCTGTATTTAATCTGATACATCCTTTTTTGGAGCCGGTGCAAAGGTGGAAAAGTTCCCTCAGCTCACAGGCATGCTCTCTACAGAGCATCAGAGCCCTGCAGCTGGACAGCATGATGGCAAGCACAAAAGCTCAACAACGAACAAACCTTTTCTTCAGCAGGGAGGCTCAAAGCTGTACAGACTCCACACTCCCTTCCTAGCCCATCAAAAGAGGAATTACTGTTTCAGCATCTGCATCATCATTCAGAACATTTGCAAAGGAAATTAATTTGTAAGTAAGCAGGAGCTTAACTCACCAGTGGACAGAATATCCAAGAATAACCAGCATGCTACTACCTCCCACTGACAGTTAATCCAAAATTGATATTGCTTTGGTGGCTTGATGGCTTTGAACCTCAGCCAGCTCACTTCCCTCTCAAACCAGCAGCACTTTGTGGCCTTTTTTGACCCAGAGCCTTTTTTTTTCTTTTTTTTTTTTTTTGATTCAATGGCTCTGAACGACCTATTCCTAAAGAAGCTGAAGTGTCATTCTGTCCTGTAAGTCAGGAGAGGCCTTAAATCCAGCAGGTACACAAAGGGAATATGTCCCCCAGGGCTTGTCCCTAAACCCACAGAGAAAGAAGGAGCCGGGGAAGAAGTCCTTCACTCTAAACTCCCCACATGATTTTTTGCTTGACTAATCTAGTTTCCCTTTTGGCATATTGAAACCCCAACCAAAAATACAGTGTCCTGGATTTCCCCAGTATTAAAAATTGCCATCTGCAAACCACCTATCTTCTTAGCACCTCTGCTGGGGCTCTTGCCTGCAAGTTATCTGAACATGTACTTTCTAAAATGCTTATTACTAGTCAGTGGTTTATAATACCTTTTTCTTGAGGCCTAGTAATTTAGAAATTAATTCATTATCCTTCTGTGACTCTAGTGTATTATTCTGCTGTCATCCAAACACAGATCAGAAATACTTACTAAATGCTTCTACTTATTTTCATCATCATTAACAATTGCACCATTTCCATTTCAAAGAGGCCTTACACAATTATTTTTCTGTTTCAAGCAGAATGTTTAAATTCTTTATCGTCCTTGAAGATAGCAGCCAAGGATAATTTTACATTTTCCTTTTCATTTACAGTTTTCTGCACTTCATTTCTAATTTATATTAACTGCGCCTCACTCTCCCTCCCCTTCCCCACTGCTTTTACTTTTTTGTTCCTAATGCTGTCTTCACCACTGAACAATGATCAGCTTTTACAAAGATGTCTCTTTCCCGAGGGCAGAATCACAGTTCTTTGCCATATAATGCACTGTTCTTAAAGAATACCTAATTCTAATTTTTTTTCCCTATAAAACACTCCCCAAGTTTAACTCAAAAAGTCTTTTAACTTTGGGTAAATTATATGTTACACTATTAGTCAGGAAAGTCTTCTTTTCATTTAGATTTATCTTTAACAAGGTCACAGTCATGCAGATACCACCAACTTCCAATCCAGCTCTGAAATCCTTTGCTCCCAGATGCGCTGGGTCTGTTAAAACACTATTCAATGATTTCTTGAACGCCACGCAGCACATAAATCCTTCCACTCTGAGAGGCTGCACCTGCTGATTTGCGTAACCATCATGCACTTATCTTCTCTGGATGCAGATTCTTGGACTCCAGTTGCACAACAGCCACTGAGTCAATGTGACAGCAGGGACTAACATGCACCTCCACCCCCACCACCAAGTGAGAACATTTCTGCTCTCCTTGGCATGCAGAGCATCCTCCCGCTGCTTTGACTGGATGCTGGGCTTAGAGTCAGACCTTAAAAAAGTGCTCCCAAAATGGGTGTGAAAGAAAGGGAAGAAAAATGTCACGGCTGGAAAATAGCAGAGAGGGACAACATAAGAGCCTGAATTCTGCATAGTGCTGATCATGATGCAGGCTGGCAGCTGGGGATTGAGACCCCACTGCCCCTAGGGGACTCCAGCGAGGACAAAAGGAAAGGCAAGGGAAGAGCTCATCAGTGAAAAGAGTAGAAATATCTTACTGGCTCTCTCTTTTGGGGCAGAACCCTCCTACCTGGAACACAGAAGAGAAAAATAAGAATGGAAAAGGGTCAGATGAACAACTACATTTACTGAAAAGCTTTTAACTTCTAGGACCACAGATCTCTCATGCCACCCAACAAGAAATTGTTGCTTTCAGCATTTGATTAAGTATTTGGTCAAATTGCTCCCTCCTGGCACCTTCACTGAACCATCCTGGGCAAAGCCAAAGAAAAACCCCCTCTGAGTGGCCAGCCCAAACTGCACAAGATACCTCCAGCAGACTGAAGTCAGGCCCATCAACCCTTCTGCCCAAGAAACTGGGCTTTTCATCAAATCTCACTGTGGGAACACTTCTGGCCCCAATCCAAAAAGATATATGCCTACACCTCTTGCTAATATTCCTAGGTCAGACCATGAAATGATTCTTCAAAGTTCTTCTTTGAAGAACTGCATTTTCTTGTCTTGGAGAAGAGTAGAAAGAGGTAGAAAAAAAACCCTAGGTTTGGAATCTCACTGGACAAATTAGTGGTTTGATCTTAGAAGTCCAGGTACTCGGTATGTTCAGAACTAATGACAAAAATCAGGGTAGCTTTAAAATTGCCCCCAAGATTGCCAAACAGGATCAATGCTATCATCCAGCCAAATCCTTACCCACATCTGACAGCGCCCAAGACTTCAAAGGGAAGTAAAACAAACAAACAAACAAACAAAAATCCATTATGTAGAATTGAGGAAGAAGTTCTTTTGAAGGCTTGTCTTCTGCTGGGCCTTTGACTCTTCTGCTTTCCCCAGCCCCCTCTCTCCTATCTTATCATTTTTTGCACAAGAATTCCAAAAGACAGATCCTGAAGAATATAGCAAAGATCACAGAATCCACCCTTTGCTGAAAACTACCATGGAGAAGAGTCAGACTTAAAAGACAGTTGCCAGCAGCTAAACAAAGGCTCTCAGCCTTCTCACTACATGACCAGCCACTAAGAAGCAAGTGCTACAACCAGCACCAGAGCAATTCAGTATGTCTGTCATAATATAATTGAGGTTGGAAGGGATCTCTGGGTTTCATTTAGTCCATCAAGTTAGCTCAAAGCAGGGATAACCTCCAGGTTAGACCAGCTTGCTCAGGTCTTTGTCCATATGAGTTCTGACACGCTGGGTCTGCAATCAGGCTGCAAAAGCGAGACATATACAAATAGACCAAATACCGGAATAAACTGCTGCATTTGTAAATGGGCTTTTCCCATTTGTAAAGCGAAAGTGTTGCTACAACCCAGGAAAACTCTTCAACCACAATTCTTGAAAGCCAAACTGGTGTTTACTCCTGGATATGGAGAGCAGCCTACCAGCAGGGTGAACAGCCAAGGGTTCCCTTATGACCTTCTAGCTTCCTTAAGTGGTTTCCAAATGGTACACTACACTCACTGGCAATCCACACAATAATATAGCATCAAATAGAATTGAAAGTTTATCTTTTCAATGATAGATACATTTGAGGTACAGAAACAGCACAAAGTCACTAAAGAATTATCTCAGATTAACATACTACACAATCACATTTCTTTTAAAAGCTCTTCAGCTCCATCCTATACTATGCAAATGGAGAACTGTTCTAAACTGAGTAAATCTGCTACCATCCTGATATGTCTGGTTGTCAATAGTTTTTTACTAAAGAACTAAGTGGAGAAATAAACCCATGTTTAGTGACACTGCAGTCTGACTCTAAACTATCAAAACCATGGATGCCAAGAGGTAAGACTTTCCTTTGGGATTTTAATTCCCTGCATTAAGTATAGTATTAAGTACAGCAGAAGATAAAGCATCCAGTCCTCTCTACACATAGTTCACCCAGGTATGTTCTGTGGATGCTGTACACATTTACTCACATGCAAAGTACATCCTACAGTACGTATGCCCTGCAGTCATCCATTAGCTTCCTACCAGTGCTTCAGTTCAAATCTTCAGGTTCTTTTTGGATGTCATTTAGCCTCACAAGTTATTAGAGCATCACTGTTCCCTGGCTTAGTTGCCTACATTATCAAAGGTAACCTTAAAAGGACAAAAAAAGAAAACGGGGAAGAATATTGTACTACTCTACCTTTGGAAACAAGGATCTACCAAGCATAGTACCTCACGAGTAGCTTTATGAAGAGTAAATAAGATTTACCTTACCACAAAACACCCGAGATGTTCACCCTGTGGCATTTTGAAGCTGCAGGTGTTCTTCTGAGGAGCCTGCTTTGCAATGCATGGTTCTTCACTCAAACTGCCCTTGAGACTATGCAGCAGAGGCTGGTAAGAAGTCAGAGATCTGATAGGGATTATCTGGAAAGATCTAGTCTTGCCCTGGGACAAGAGAGATGGACTTTCCTGCCTTATTTTCTGTAATTCTGTCATGCTTTACTAAATGTAATTGCTTGTCTGTATTTTATGATGATATTTTAAGTTGCCTTCACTGCAATCTTCTTTAAATTGGCTGAACACAGGGAAACTCAAAAAGCTGTTATGACCATTGCAAGAGAGCATTAGCGCCTATATACTGTTTTTATTTCAGTTCTGTGCTGGAGTCAGCTCACCTGTATACACCTAATAAAGCTGTTAAAGAACAAAACAGCCCCAGAAAATCAGGAAAGGGCAACGTGACTTGATTTATTTTGCAGATTTGTTTCACTCACCACTGTCTTTTCCACTTACAAATTATACTTCACCCAAACCGGCACTGTTTTGATATGTCAGCAATTCATTTAATTCATTACTAACACAATGCAGTTTACAAGGGATGCATTTCTGGCACTCAGTGGTTAGTATTTCCCAGCAATGGACTGGCCTCCTAAATTAATCTTATCTCAAGGGCTCTGTGTAAAACCCACAGAGAAACATCTCTCAGCTGGATCTACCTGTTGCAGCGAAAGAAGTACTCTCCCAAAGTGCAGAGGTAAAGAGATTGTCTCAATATGTTTATGAACACATATGCCAGTGGTTCCTAAGCTGTGGTACTGGAATCACTGAAGGAGGAACTACCCCAGGTCACAGGGCAAACATCTCCATGAGCACAGTTAAAGCTGGTGGAGATGGGGTTTGGTAAATGAAAGAGTGCAGTGCGGGTCTTGACTCAGGACAAGGAGGGTGGGCCCCTCTGAGAAGGAATATGGTAGCTTAAGGATTAGAAAAATATATGACGGGAGGGTGCAAACAGGAAAACTAGAGGCACACCTTCCTATACACATGAAACAGCACATTTCCAGCGGCCACTGTCTCATCATCTGCCCTTGACTCCAGTACTGATAATGATGGCTGTCACTAATACCTGGGGTTGCTACTGCTGCT